TTCTCATTTTCCAAAGTGGATTCATTTTCCTGCTTTTTTGCAGATTTTCTTTAGAAATTATCAGCATCATCATTATGGTACCATCCATTGGTTTGAATCGCCCACATTCAAATTCCTTTTTTTTCTTCTTATCATATCACACAACTGGTGGCGGATCTACAACATACTTGGGATAGAAAACGTTAAAATTTAAAATTATTATTTTAATTAATCATCTATTTTATTAACAGTAATTACTCTGAAATTTTTTAGTGTTTACCCATGCATAAATTTTATACATATGTTCACCTTAAAAAAATATTTCTAGACATGTCACTTCACACAACCTTCCTTGAAACTGACGACTTAACGAGGGAACTAAACATTATTTTCACCGTTTGCTTTAAGTCTAGTTGCTCAAGTTTGTAAACAGTGTCGTTTTATTGTGCTTCATAAACTCTGCTGACTTTCAAAATAAACTAATAAATAAATAAAACCTGAACAATTGGATTTGTTGCAATTGTGATTTCATATCCCTTGCTGGATAACTGGTTTAATTAATTAATTTTATATTAATATGGGGTAAGTACAAGATGTTTAAAGATAATTTTTAATTATTTGACACTAAACCTTCATATCAATGACATTCTTGATGTTCGAACACGATTTATGATATATAAATTTATGAAAAATAACAATAATAACACACAACCACAACCAAACATTTCATGCAGTCGTGTATTTCAATATTTACAATAATTCTCTATTCAAAATCAAACAAATCATGTAAAAGAAAACTACTAATGGGGCTGAAGCTGACTTGCTAAACCAATTTCTCCCTCTTCTCGTGGAATAAAGCTCACTCGCTTCTGCTCATTCCAAATCATAAAAACAATTATAAAATAATCAATTATAAGCAACCTTACTATGTATCTAACCAAGGGAGAGAGAAAAAAAACATGTATATAAGTTATCGACCAGAGACGAAATATTCTTCAAAACTTTGGGTGCTAAAATTTGACCAAATAAAACATGTATTTATAGATTTTGAATGTTTAAAAGTCAAATTTCGGTTCTTTGTAATATTGCTCCGTAGGAACAACGTGATTGTTTGACATATACATACATTTGTTCTTTATTTTAAATAATTATATTTGTTTTATGTAAAGATAATTTAAATATATACGACTATAAGATATTCTGAAAATTGGAAGATATAATTGAGTAACATTAAGATTTATAATTTAAGTAGTTGTATAAGTGTAACTATTATCAAGTAGAAATATTTTTATCTGAAATAAATTGTGATATAAGAATTACAAAAGCTGATTAAATGTAATTTTTATCTGAAATATTTTAAAATATTTATTTTTTTCAATCTGTTTTTTCCCAATAAATGAAGCCTTATTTTTTTTAACTTTTATAATATTTTTTTTTACATCTCTTCAAAAATATATATTGTTATTATAGATTCTTAAAATTTTAAAACTGTCTATTATTATGTATTCATATTGGATTATACTCCACAGAAATTTGTACTATTATTTATTATATTGAAATTAAATAAAAATAAAATACAAGAAAAGTTAATAAAATATTGAATTATACTTTATATTCCTCTATAATTACACTTTCAATATGATTAAAACTATTTAAATTGTTATTAGGAACAAAAATAATATTTGTTTTATTGTTATAAAACTAAAAATTTTAATAAAATAAGTCTAATGAAGAATATTTTAATCAACCCAAAAGTTTCTCTAACTCATATATATTATAGAAAATTTATAAATAATTTCCTCCATAGATTTTTTGAGTTTCGATAAGTTTAATTTACATATTTTAATATGTATAATTATGTGATTAAGAAAGGGGAAACAGAAAAGACGGTTCATGTCTAGAATTGATGTCGATGACCTTTAACTATCTATTGAATATATTCAAAGACCATTTCTTATATTAAACTTTGAAAATGAGAAAAAAAGATTAATTACTCTTTTCGTTTGACATTTTTGTTTTGACTTTCAAATTAAACTAACTTCCCCCATAGATAATGTCAACGTGAAATTAAAATTAAAACAAGGAGGAAAATTTCTAACGTCTTAAACTTACAATTACGAAAGAAAAAAACTTAGATCCTTTTCTTTGTACCTACACTTATTTAAATCTTAAACGTTGTTCAAACACTTAATTTTGTTAGATAAATTAATAAGTCTAAAAGAATTACATCTTAAATAAAGACTAAAAAGAATCATAATCACAAGTCATAGCAATTTAAAGGACGAATTATCCTATCTACATATGTATAAATTATAGTTTATTCGAGATAAATCATTGATACTCAAAGTAAAATCTTAACACTAAAATAATTATTTTCAGCTTTGATTATAAAGATATTAATTTCACTAAATCTTGAATTGTTGCCTAATGAAGAATTATTGTAGATTTTAGTAAAGTGAGACTATCTGAATGGGTGAGTTCAGGTACTGTAGATCTCTGAAGTTGGCCTATCTTCTTGGCTAGCTACCAAAACAACCTTTGCATCACTCACCAAACCCTTTGATTTATTTTAAACAACCATTTTTAGCAATTAACCGCTCTTTGTATTACAAATTAACAACACGTAGGCCCAAAAATAATCATTCAAAATTCAGTTGTTAGCTTTACTTAACATGTGAATTTCCTTTATTTTTCCAGTAAGTTTACCTAATTTCCTGGATTTTCTTTGTTTGAAATTGATTGAAGTAAATTATAGAACATAAAAAAAGGGGTTGGAAAAAAGAGAGCATACCTCTCGTTTGGCCTTGAAGTTTTCTCCAATGCTACCAAGGTCAGGTTTCCACGGCCCTGCTTCACGGTGGATTTGATTATCGGCACCACCGCCGACTTTTTCGATATAAAGATCAAGGATCTTATTGGCCACCTCGACACCATCTCTGCTCTCTTCCACCAACTTGGCCATTTGAGACTTGGGCAGCCTCATTTTGACAGTCATCAATCCCCCGGACTCAGCAGGTCCGATCCCATCAGCCCTAGGCTCGACGATGCTCGAACCATGGACACATCGGAGACCGTTCTTCTCGACAACTTCAAGCACTCTAATCTATCTTTAGCGCTCATATGAATCCCTCCCGAACGGACTCTCCTGGGTGCTTTGTCATCCGGAAACTTTTGAAGCTCCACCAGGAAGTAAATTTTCTTAGGCTTCAAATCCTGTTGTGGCTCTAATGGCTTAGCACGAATCCCGTAATGCTTCACGGCCTCCGATTCCAACAAAACATGGCCTGGATAATCCTTCACTACGTCCCAAGCTCGAATTGGTGTCTTTAACTTGATAGTTTCGCCATCGATTTTCATCACCTTTGCCTTCTTTCTTCCTCCCATGCTGTTCCCCATTGTCCTCGGTGGTATAAAAAAAGTGGTTTTGATTTGGGAATTTTATAGTATGCTACTATTGGAAGGGTTCAAATTAAACAGTGGTGTGAAAATAGAGAAATTTCATAAAAGATTCCAACTTTGTTTAAGATTTGATGATAGACTTTAATGGAGATTAAGGTGGGAAAACTCAATTGTGACTGTGCCAAAAGATTAATGGAGACAAAAGAGAAGGGGGTGGGGGATGTAATTGATTTGATTTTGCCAAACCAACGTTGAAATCGCAATCGCCCTTTATTAAGCTTAAATAGTGGGTGGGGACATCATAGCCATGAAATGCAGAGGAAGGATAACCTTTGATACGAGGATAAGGATGAATCGAAGTTAAACGCGACTACTATGCCCTTTCACTTTTCCCATATACATGACTTGACCTAGTGTACCATGTTTTATAATGTGGTTTAGGCTCAATATTTACCATCCTTGCCATTTTTAATTATTTTACTTTGTTATACATCCTTCTAATCTCTTTGTAAGTTGTTTTTTTTACAACTATTTATTTATTGAAGTGTTTTAGAAGAATTTATATTGATAGAAGTTTAGATCATCATCCGATTAATTATAATCTTTTAATATGTATCTTTGTTATCACTCTTTTATTTATCGTAGTCTACAGAGGAATTTCTCCATTTATAGAAACTTTTGGAATTTCATATCCTTCGACTAACTATAATCTCTTGACATTATCATTGATAGCCCCGTGCAATCTGTCAAAATCAAACTCGTTATTTGATAATCATATCTATCAAGTATATTCATTGACAAGTGTGGCATGTGATACACCACAGGGCCCCAAAATTTAGTAGACCCACACATAAATGTCATTTAGGTCTATCAATGTACAATTTTTGTGCCCTAACGATATTTTTGTTCGAAGGAAAACAAACTTTCCGTTTGGTTCTCTAGAAAATGACAAAGAAAGTTATAAACAAAGATTTTGGCATTATCTTTAATCGTTTTCATGATAAATTTTGGTAAAAAGGTTTCGTAGATCCCTCGTAATTTTAAATTTGATAAATTAAATTTTATAATAAAATATTTTAGAGGCCTTATTTTAAAAAGTAGCACAGAGCCTAAACATCATTTGGGACGGGCCTAATGTCTATCTACCCTAACAGCTTACGGATAACTATCATAACCCTAAACCTAACATCAATAGTAAAAATCAATATATAAACCACCATGCATGATTGTTTAAACCCCAATTCTTTCTTTGACTTACAATCTTCCTATTACGAAAAATAAAAAATAAACGACCTATAATATGTTATAACCCCACTCTTTCTACCAACATATTTCATAACGCCTAAATCTTAAGAATTTTGATTTAAAAAAATTTAAAATGTAGTTGAATTCATATCTCCCTACTTAAATAACAAGCAAAGGGAACAAAAGGCCCCGAATCCTGCATTTATTTTAATCCTTTTATATATTGTACATGGAGGTTTTAGATATTCATGTACGATAATTGTATATAGGAAACGTCCGACAATATTATACACAGCTCCAACATGAAAGTCGACAAAAGCACTGTTGGAGAACATGTCATATGCTCTGCTATTCTAAGACTTGTTCAGACAATAGACTAGTTCTGGACATTTTCTTTTTAACTCTTTGCATGAGATTGTGTATCGGTAGGTACATCTTTTGTTTATATTACTACGTACTCAATTAACTTCTAAATACCACATTTTTATTGCAATCCATTATGCGTCAACATAAAATGAGAAGTTCCTTTTTTATTTTAAAGATAAATTGTTTAAATGAAGGAAGCATGCTTATTCTCAGTTTTACGATACTATTCCCATCATTGCAAGTTTGCTCAGGAGTCGAGATGAGGCGCCATCCCTTAATCAATTTAAATTCATTATTAAAATAATTTGATTGAAACAATTCATAAAAATCAAAATTCGATTGAAAATTGATGAATAAATATAATGTCTAATTATAACATTCAGTTGAGGGATTTATTAAATTTCCAAATTTCACATGTTTGAAACATCAAATGCTTGATGTGATTCTTTCCCTGGATGTGGCGTGTCAAATTTCTAACAATTTAAAAATGAAATAAAAACCATACTAAATATTGCACCATAAGTGGTTCACATGCATGTGCCAACCAGGTCTGTAATGCTGCCGGCTTCATTTCTTTTGGGAGCAATCTGACTTTTTCAATTTTCTAGTTTCATGTTTGCTGAAACATAAGTATCTATGTTTTCGCATTTTTATTCACTGTTATGTCCACCCTCTCATGGTTACGTTAAGCTACATTATCTAATGAATCTTTTGGATGAGGATCAAAGCACCCTTTAGGTAATTGGTCTGGGTTAAACTACATCATTAGTCGTTAATGAATTTAGTATTTTTTATTATTTTAGTCAACAATTTCTTTTTTTGACAAAATTATCATTAATATTGTATTTCATTTTGATCATCAACGGTTAAAAATTCAACAGAGGTGTTGACACGATTTTTTTTTAATTATTTCCATTCTCCTCGTTAACAACTTGCGTTTCATATTTTAAATAATTTTATTTAGACCAAAATAAATCATAAACTCTAAATTATATCATCGCCAAAAATTATTTCAAAAAATAATTTAGTGACAAAAAAATAATAGATTAGTGAGTAATGGTACATTTTACCCTTAAGTTTATAATCTCAATAATTAATTAAAATTAATAGGATTATTAATTAGGGAATGCAGAGCATCTTTGATTTTGTCATGATTTCACCCAAATGCCACCAATAGGATTAGGCCAAGCGCCTCTATATATTGGAAAGAGTAATCGGGTCAAGACGCATTCCTCTTGAAAAGGGGTCGTTCTGCGGTGCGGCGCCTAAAAAACGGCTAATATACGGCGTGACCGGTTAAACAAGTGACCGGTTAAAATTTAGACCGGTTATGTTATATTATTTAACCGGAAATATTATAAAGTACAATAACATACTAGGTAGCGCTTATATAATGTAATAGGTAGCGCTTATATTTACCTATTTTATAAGTAAACTAGTATATTTATACCGATAGCATTGCAAATTTACCTATTACATTATATTATATTGAAAGTGTCCATACTTTTTATAAAAAGGATTGATACTTTAACAGTGTTTCATGTTTTCCACCTACAATATTGATTTAATAATTTCATTTGCACAAAAAATTATTTGATTGTTTTGATATTTTATAAAAAATATTATTTAGAATTTTTAATTTAATAATAATATATACCGTAACGTAAAAAATAAATCATTAGACGCCTATAATTACTAAATTAATATCTTAAAACTCACTCAAAAGATAACCTTAAATTAATGTTTTCCACAGTGAAAAAAGTATGGACACTTTTATAAAAAGGATAGACACTTTACAATATAACCATTACCTATTACATTATATAAACGATACCTATTACATTATATAAGGGCTACCTATTACATCATATGTTTACCTATTATATTGAAAGTGTCCATACTTTTTATAAAAAGGATCGATACTTTTTTTAAAACTTATGTAATTTATGTTTCAATTTTTTAACAGTGTTTCATGTTTTCCACCTACAATATTGATTTAATAATTTCATTTGCACAAAAAATTATTTGATTGTTTTTATATTTTATAAAATATTATTTAGAATTTTAAATTTAATAATAATATATACCGTAACGTAAAAAATAAATCATTAGACGCCTATAATTACTAAATTAATATCTTAAAACTCACTCAAAAGATAACCTTAAATTAATGTTTTCCACAGTGAAAAAAGTATGGACACTTTTATAAAAAGGATAGACACTTTACAATATAACCATTACCTATTACATTATATAAACGATACCTATTACATTATATAAGGGCTACCTATTACATCATATGTTTACCTATTATATTGAAAGTGTCCATACTTTTTATAAAAAGGATCGATACTTTTTTAAAACTTATGTAATTTATGTTTCAATTTTTTTAACAGTGTTTCATGTTTTCCACCTACAATATTGATTTAATAATTTCATTTGCACAAAAAATTATTTGATTGTTTTATATTTATAAAATATTATTTAGAATTTTTAATTTAATAATAATATATACCGTAACGTAAAAAATAAATCATTAGACGCCTATAATTACTAAATTAATATCTTAAAACTCACTCAAAAGATAACCTTAAATTAATGTTTTCCACAGTGAAAAAAGTATGGACACTTTTATAAAAAGGATAGACACTTTACAATATAACCATTACCTATTACATTATATAAACGATACCTATTACATTATATAAGGGCTACCTATTACATCATATGTTTACCTATTATATTGAAAGTGTCCATACTTTTTATAAAAAGGATCGATACTTTTTTTAAAACTTATGTAATTTATGTTTCAATTTTTTTAACAGTGTACTGCGAATTTAAAATGATAATATACTTGTAGTTATTGTACATACCTAAATATGTACTGCGAATTTAATGTTGTACCCCCCTTTAACTACAGAAACATGTTCAAAATGAACCTTCGTTACATATCCATCAACTCCTGGAGCACTGAACTTGCACAACAAAATTTTTGCCATGGATAATACTGATGTAGACAATGTTAAGCCAACCGAGGAATGCCATGAAGTACATAATGTTGATGAATCTGACAGATTGGTTGGTCAGCTCTTCTGTTCACGTGATCAAGCTTGGCACTTTTACAAGGGATTCGCACGGGAACATGGGTTTAGTGCACGTAAGGGAACAACACGGCTTGACGTGGAAGGGAATGTGAAGACACAAGAATTTTGTTGTTCCAAAGAAGGGTTTCGAGTATCAAAAGTCAATACTGTTGATCGTCAACGTGCTCATACGCCAGTCACAAGAACAGGATGTAAGGCTAGAGTCGTAGTTACAGCAACAAATACAAACGATCAGTGGGTTATAAGTAAGTCTGATCAGAAACATAATCATGCATTGTGCACATCTGCTATGACACCATTTATGCGTTCTAATCGAGCTGTAAGTAAGGCTGATATCGATGAGGCAACAACATTGAAAGAGGTCGGTGTTGGCACGTCACAAGTAATGAACTATTTAACGCAGCAGGCAGGGGGCTATCATAATGTTGGATTTACACATAAAGACCTCTACAATGCACTTCAAAGAGGTAAAGCAAAGGAAATCGTCGATGGGGATGTGAATGCGCTTATTGCCTACTTTGATTATAAGAAACATGATGATCCCGGGTTTTTTATGACATACTCGGTAGACGAATCGGGGGCATTGTATAATCTTATTTGGTCGGATTCTACATCGAGATCGGATTACACATGCTTCGGTGATGTAATTGCGTTCGACACAACGTACAAAGATAATTTGTATGGTCGACCAATTATGCCTATTGTTGGTGTCAATCATCACCATAACACAATTGTGTTTGCCACTGCCATAATCGCTGACGAAACGTCTCAATCTTTCGAGTGGGTGCTACAGAATTTTTTAGAAGCCATGATGAATAAATCACCTATTTCTGTTGTAACCGATGGGGATAGGGCAATGCAGAGGGCTATCAAATCTGTTATCCCTTATGCTAAGCACAGATTATGTTCTTGGCATCTTTCTCGCAATGCACAAGCTAACATTGGTGACCCAAAGTTTACAGCAGCATTCTCAAAATGCATGGCTTCCTGGTGGACAACCAAGGAATTTGATATTCAATGGCGTTCGATTGTTTCAGAATTCAACGTCCAAAAGCATCCATGGGTGATTGAGAAGGGAAATACACGACACTTATGGGCACAAGCATATCTAACCGGTCATTTCTTTGCCATTCGCTCAACACAAAGGTGCGAGTCTATGAATGCTTCACTAGCTATTGCACTGAAACACAAGAAGACATATTTAGATGTTGTTCGTGCAATTGAAGATGGAATTAGTAGAATGCGTATGAACGAGTTGAAAGCGGATTACTTAAGTTCCCATACGAAGCCCTTCCAGATCACAAAACTGGTCGACCTTGAAAGCCATGTTCCAAGATGCTTACACGGGAGACATTGTACCGGATTGAGGCAGAGATTAAGTCCTTATCAGATGAATGTCAACATTATATTTTGTCAAAGTACGCAGAAAAAATAGGAAATTTGAAATTAGTTTTGATTCTCGTACGAAAACTCTAATTTGCTCCTGCAAAAAATTCGAGACCGTTGGACTTCCGTGTCGCCATCAACTTCACATTTTGAAGCAATTGGACTACACATATTTGCCCGGGACTTTGATTCAAAGTAGGTGGACTAATGATGCGAAGGCTTCTGCACCCAGCTATGTTGATTTGAATGTGTCTCCAGAAGTGATGCAAATGGCAAGGTTCGCTGCTCTACGTTCAACGTCAAGTAGGTTATGCTACATTGCATCAAAGACAGACGAGTCTTTCAAAACCGCAAGAGATGAGATGAAAAAACTAATAGAAGAATTAGAAAACTCGTTTGGTTTGAATCATTCAGTCAACCAGAGCATTGTAGTAAACAATGTTCGTGACCCTCAACGAAAACAACGCAAGCGAAAAGAAGTGCCGAAGAACAAGGTCGAGAAGCAAATTAGGCGATGTGGGTACTGCAACGGTGAGGGGCATAACAAACTAACATGTCCTCAAGTCAAGCTTAGTTTGAGTACAAGCACACAGCCTACATCAACTGATTTTTTCGAAGACGGAATGGAATGACAACGATCTCCATATAATATATCGTAAGTATCAACATCACTCCTATTGTATGTACATATAAATATTTGAATGAAGGAAGAAAAACCGCGTTACTTCAAATTACCGACACTTTTTTAAATGGTATGGACATAAAGTACCGACACAATATTATAAAGTGTCGATATAGGTTGTAGACCTATTCGCTCATAAAACCGGTATATTTATACCGGTTATATTACAAAATTATCTATTACATTATAATTATGGGTTCCGATGTGTAAAATGTCGACACTTTTTAAATCGTATCGACACATTTTTCTTCCAATATGGACAAAGTACCGACACAATATTAAAAAGTGTCGATATAGGTTGTAGACCTATTCGCGCATAAGACCGGTATATTTATACCGGTTATATTACAAAATTATCTATTACATTATAATTATGGGTTCCGATGTGTAAAATGTCGACACTTTTTTAAATCGTATCGACACATTTTTCTTCCAATATGGACATAAAGTACCGACACAATATTAAAAAGTGTCGATATAGGTTGTAGACCTATTCGCGCATAAGACCGGTATATTTATACCGGTTATATTACAAAATTATCTATTTTATTATAATATGTTGAAAGTGTCCATACTTTTTATAAAAAGGATCGAAACTTTTTTTAAAGATATGTAATTTATGTTTCAATATTTTTAAGTATGTTTCATGTTTTCCACCTACAATATTAATTTAATAATTTCATTTGCACAAAAAATTAGTTGATTGTGTTGATATTTTATAAAATAATATTAAGAATTTTTAATTTAACAATAATATATACCGTAACGTAAAAATTAATCATTAGACGCCTATAATTACTAAATTAATATCTTAAAACTCACTCAAATGTATATGTACACATAGAAGCAAATATGGAATAATTAATGAAATATACATACAATATAATCACACCAAAATTTAAATACACAAGAATGTTCAAATAATGTACCGACAAACAAAATTAATCCGATGAAAAAGGGTTGTTTCTAACGAAGTCCGGAACATTAGAGGCCTTCAACAAATTTTCCAAATACTCTCGTATGTTTCCGCCTTTTTCTGAGGACATACATAAATAATTTCAATTATCAAACTAATGAGGTGCAATTTTACTAACAATAAATTAAATTCGCATAAGCATGAATAAATTTGTGTCATACCTAGAGCTTTGTCGTTCGAATGGGAAGCAGCGTCAAAGGTATGTGGACATATGTAATTGTATTTCTATATAAACACATAAGTTGTTAAAATAATCAATGTCTGAACACCTGTTCAACTGATCAGAAACATATTGCATAAATGCAACCTACCGGATTATAAATCATTTTTTCCGCTGAATCATCGACCAAAAGTGTATTTAGCTCGTTAAAATCTGGACACGCGTTCCAAACATCATTGAGATCTTTACAATAGGTAACAGAATCGTATGTTTTGCATTTTTTTTGATCCTGTTCACAAACAGTCGAACATAAATATGTAGGAATCATAGACAAGGAAAAGTCAGCAAACTGTAATGACATTCATCTTACCCACACGAATAGAAAATGCTCGGAAAATACAGGTAGTTTCTCAAGTACACGGTCTTAATTGTGACATCCTCTGCAACTGTTGCTTCTTCCATCATTGCGTCTCCACTTGGTTGCTCTTCTTCATGGCCAACGGGGTCCATTTCCTCCCTCTCTTGATCTAATCCGACCTCCTTGACACGCTTCCAACCGAGTTTTTCAACAAAATCATATCCCGCTTTTTTAATAAATACCATGTCAATCTTGCGGGTTAATCGAACAGGGCGTCATGCGAAAAATCAACTTCCTTCTTCTTCAACAGATGGGTGATGACACATCCATATGGTAGTGTAGTTGAAATTGTTGCTCCCTTTGTGACCATATATACAATTGTATTAAATATGAGTTTTGCAATGTTTGGAGCCGTTTTGGATTTATACTTTGCTATCCACCAATAATCGCTGTCTCGAAGCGTTGAATGTTTTCCCCCACTAGGCCGGATATACCATGTGAGCATTTTGTGAAACACTCTCGACTCTACATCGAGGTGAATTGGGCTATTTCTAGTAACCCGTTTAATTGTAGACCAATCTACACCATTTTCATCTGAATCCCCTGTATTCGCTACACCTAAACCCTCCGCAATAGTTTCTGGAGATATATATATATCCTTCCCCATGACATGTGTATTAATTCCTATTATATTAGTCTTATTAGGCTCGTGCTGTAAGGAAGCATTGTTGTAGAAGACTCTAACTAGGTTGGGATAATATCTTGGTTCTACACCAAGGAATTCAAGCCAACCCCAAGATGTAAATGTGGATTTAAAACTAAATGCATATTTATCATCAAACAAGAAACCCAGGTCAATGACACGTTCGGGACGAATCTTCCTTACTTTAAAACTCGTCTGCCATCTTTGTTTCTCCATGTCGGATCTAAAGTTCAGAGTTTCGAAGGACCTGATTTCCTCAGAAGAATCGTTTGTTACAGAAGGAGGTGGTTGAGAAGAACTGGTTGAGAAGAGCTTTGAGAAAGACCTCGCTTCTGACGCTGACGTTTGGAGCCATTTTGGTTGGATGCTACCCCTATTACAATGGAACACAAACACATTCAGGATAAAACTCCAATATAGAAATCAATCAAACCCATAAAATATCGATAAATTTACCTGAATATCTGATCGTCACTTATGATAACGGTAGAAGGAAGAAAGAGGAGAGGAAGATCTGCCTGCTTGCATTTATGTTTAGGGTTTCTCGATTAAGAGTACTATATAAACGGTGGAAAACACTTGATATTTAAATTAGTATCGACACAAAATATATTAGTGTCGACACATTATTTAGACATATTCTCTCATAAAACCGGTATTATTGTACCGGTTAGATTGAAAAATTACATATTACATTATACTTTTGGGTTCGATGATATTGGGATCGACACGTTTTATATATGGATCGACACTTTATGGGTGCACCATGTTTTTAATTCATTCTGGGAAAAAAATATCGACACAAACTATATTAGTGTCGACACATTATTTAGACTTATTCTCTCATAAAACCGGTATAATTGTACCGGTTAGATTGAAAAATTACATATTACATTATACTTTTGGGTTCGATGATTTTGGGATCGACACTTTTTATATATGGATCGACACTTTATTGATGCACCTTGTTTTTAATTCATTCTGGAAAAAAAATATCGACACAAACTATATTAGTATCGACATGACCCTTAATGTGTATAAGAAACATGTACAACAACATACTGCTAACTTTTCTCATCTCATTCATAATTATATTCACATAAAAAAATATAAATCGTATACAAAATTATAAATCTTATACAAAATTAACTCGACATTTACATCATTGCATCCTTTTGTTATTCCTATGTAATATTGCGGCTTTTGTTATCTCCTGTCTTCGTTCATTTTGATTGTGGCTTACGAGATCATTTAATACTCGCGATCGATCCCAGTCTCCAACAACCTATATTCAAATTGTCAGAACGTTAAGTATTGTCAACTACAGCATTCAATCTACGACTTTTAACAATTTTACCACAAACAATTTTTTCTATCCACTTACAAAATCACCAGTTGCCCCTGTAGAACCGATCGATTCCATCCACATCATCACATACATGCCGCAATCATATCTGTTACAAAATTTGAAAACCACACATGTCAATTATGATGAATACTGCATAAATTAAGCTTTCTATTTGTGATAACATCTCATACCCATTCAACTGCTTATTCTTCTTATGCTCCACAAATTTGAAGTTTTTCAAGGGATACTTTCCTAGAGATCCACATGACTCAACCCAAATGCGTTTCTTATTATAAGAATCTAATATTTTAATCTGCATTAAAATAGAAGAAGTTATGCACCAAAAAAATTATGCATTATAATTTACATAATGTCCTTTCATACATACATACATACCAATCTCTTAGCATCCTTCACTCTCTGTTTAGCTGCTTCAGTTGTAAACATACTATCATATATTGTTACAACATGATCTACCATATCCAACACCAACAGATACCAGTGTGAATTATGGTAGTTTATTGTGATCATTATCTGCAACAAATTTCACACCCAATTTGACAAAATTCAACATTCTATATCCGAAAACATCATTTGCAATTGGTATGGTGTCTTACCTTCTCACAGTCGGTGAATTTCACATAGTTATCCAATATGACACCCCAGAAGGTAGAAATATTCTCAACACTTTCTTTATTGTTGGCTTCCAACGCCTGTTGCTGTAATTACGCAACAAACATTATAATTTACCGTCTATAACACTACTTTTCAATATTTATTAATTTAACTCACCACTAAGAGGTATGGAAGGTAGCCAATCCTCGGTGTGACTTTTGAGAATCGTAGCATATGGTCCAGGCGAGCAAATCGATAACCTAACAAAATTAATTACACAATCAGAACATATTCAATAAGTTTTATTTATTTTCTACTTTCTACTTACCACACCGCCAACCCATTCTGTAGGCTTCAACGTTGCAACGTCGTATACAGTAGCGAATTGATTTCCCATTGATATTACAGAATATCTGTATGAATCATTAGGATTAATATCTTGTCATGAAATATTTAAATATCACTCACAAAACAATATATTTCACTTACCCCCGATTCTAACTCGCTATTCCATAAATAATCACAAATTGCAGCTTCGATGTGATCAATTCCGGTTGGAATGTCCGCTTTTTTCAACCTACATTTTGCATACAAATTTTTGTCACAACAACATAATAAAAATCAAATTAAGTATTCTTTTATTAAACTTACCTTCTGCTTCTTCTTCTGGGGTGCAGGACATTCCGAATCCAAAACTGCTGCTATGACACTCTCCGGTGTATAAAGCACATTGGGCCTCTCCTTCCTCCTCATTTCTTCCATCTCTTCTTCTTCCTCCTCCCTCTTTTCTTCTTCATATTTTTTCAGTTCATCGTACTTTTTTTCTACATAGCTCTTCATATCTTTTATTTCACCCTTCAATTGAGCTCCTTCATCCGAGTATTTATCAACCCCCCCTTCACCCCCGTAAGTTCACTCCTCAAATCAACAACCTCCTTCACCACTCCCTCAAATTTTTCTCCCGTCACCATCTTAATATCACCCCTTAACACCGAAACTTCTTTCACCACTTCACCCCTCAACACCTCTACTTCTTTCACCACTCCATCTATTTTTCCTTCCACTACCCCCTTATGCCTCTCGAGTTTCTCTACGACTTGATCAAGTTTCTCTTCGACTCTTGATTGTCTTTGCATGATTTCAAATTGGATTTTTTTGATATCAGCCAATTCAGACATCAAAATGTCGAAGTTACTCTGTTTTGCTTCACCGTCGTCCCACTCACCTTCATCCCCCAATACAACCATCCCTCCTTTCTTCTCCTCTGCCTCCACTGCCTCCTCTACATCCTTGCCAATACCTTCAAAA